ATGATTCTCTTTTTCTCTCTCTTCCTTTATCACCATTGATCCATCTTTGTATGGCTATAATTTACTAGCCGAAGATAAAATTATCTCAAGCAGCTTGAGAAACAATAAGCCCATATATATATATATATATATATATATATATATATAAAAGTAAAAAGAAAAAGAAAGGGAAAAGAATAAGAGGGGAAAATGAAGGAGAAAAAGACTAAAAATGGACCATTTGGAACATATGAATAACAACGGGTCTAATCCTCCATCATGCTTATTTATAGCTTTTCTCCATTCCATTCTAAGGCACATCGTCCGCCAATTTATATCTCACTCTATTAAATCTTGTTTTACTATCTTCCCCAAGTAAGTTTTGGTCTACCTCAACCTTTTTTTGTGTTGAGCTCTTGGTAACAAACTTCTGTTCTTACGGGAGCATCCATAGGCCTTCTCATTACGTGCCCAAACCACCTCAATCTATGTTCTCTCATCTTCTCATCCACCGAAAGTACTCTTACCTTTCGTCGAATATCTTCATTTCTTATCTTATCCATTCTCGTATAACCACACATCCACCTTAACATCCTCATCTCTGCTACTCCCATTTTATGCTCATGTTGCCTATGTGCTGGCCAACATTCAGCTTCATATAGCATTGCAGGTCTTACTGCTGTTCTATAGAATTTTCCTTTTAACTTAGGGTGAATTTTGCGATCACACAAAAACCCAGATGCACTACGCCATTTCATTCAGCCTGCTATGATTCTATGATTTACATCCTCATCAATCTCTCCACTTTTTTGCAAAATGGAGTCCAGATATTTAAAAGCATCTTTCTTGGGTACCTCTTGACCACTTAGATGCACGAGATCTTGGTCTACATCTCTTACCAGAGAAAACTCATACTTCAGATACTCAGTCTTGCTCCGACTTAATGTGAATCCTTTAGATTCTAACATGATTCTCCATAATTCAAGTTTTCTATTAACATCGTATTTGCTCTCATCGATAAGCACAATATCATCTGCAAAAAGCATACATCATGGCACCCTCTCTTGAATATCTTTTGTTAGTTCATCCATAACTAAAGCAAAGAGATAAGGACTCAGAGTCGACCTTTGGTGTACACCTACCGTGATAGAAAAAAACTTGATGTTCCGTTACAAGTTTTCACATATGTAGTAGCCCCATCCAAACGAACTAAAAATAAGAAGTGCTTTTTTTCAAGAAAAAAATAGCTTTTGGAGAAAAAAAACTCATCCAAACGGGCCCTAATAAGATGACCTTAGGCTCCAATTCAAAAATTCGCCTTAGAGCCTCTTGGGCTAGCCTAGTATACTAACTTTTATTTTTATTTTATATTTTTTATACTACTCATAATGCTCTTTCTCTCTTCAAACCATTTCACCCTATTTTATTAGTTAAATAATTTTTTTGAATGATTTTGTTCTATATTATGCCGTTTGGAAATACATTGAATTTATGAATCTTTGTGAAATTATTAACCCTATTGATTGTATATTCTGTTTGGATAAATTTTTGTTATCTTATTTTTTTAATAGGCTAATAGGCTAAACTAGATTTTTATTTTTTGTAAATAAGTCATGCCACATGCCAATAATTATATTAATAACAAGTAACAGGTTGACACATTTAAACACAGTCTTAGCCTTTTAAGACCAAAGCCCAACCCGGCTTGGCCCGTTAACACCCCTACATGCAAGGATCGAACACCCTTCCTTATCCACTTCTCAGTTCTCATACACTAACTGAGCTACCACTATTTTTTTTAATAGGCTAAACTAGACTTTTATTTTTTTGTAAATAAGTCATGTCACTTGCCGATAATTATATTAATAACAAGTAACAGGTTGACACATTTAAACACAGTCTTAGCCTTTTAAGACCAAAGCCCAACCCAGCTTGGTCCGTTAACACCCCTACATGCAAGGATCGAACACTCTTTCTTATCCACTGCTCAGCTCTCATACACTAACTGAGCTACCACCATTTGGTGGCACGCAATACATGTTAGTTATGTTTAAATATATTAATTCATATTATCATTTTAAGAAAAATAATTTTGTTCAAATCACATAAAAGAAATATTTTTATGTATTAAATTACTTAAAGAGATATAAAATGACTTTAAAAGATATTTATTTGAGAGAAAAAAGGTGTTTATTTACGTCTATTAAATAACTGCAACAAATTATTAAAAAAAATACTAAAATCCTAGCTTAATTTAACATTAAATATAAAGTTACAAGAAATAAATGTGTGTTACTTTTTCTTAACATATAAAATTAAGGGTTATATTTATCTCTTCAACATTAAATAAATCAAATTCCTACAGACACATAACAAAGGTGGGTCCCACATTTATTTTTTGTTCTCCAATTATTTGTGATTCCCTCTTATAATTTTGTTTCACTAACATAAGATAACTACCTACAACAACATAAAAAAAACATTTCCCTAAAACTAAATAAGAATATAAATAAAGAGTTTGCTTTTTCTGCGGTTACTGCAAATAAGTTATATGCAGCAAGCCTAATACGATGTCATTTTGGGGTGAAAATCATGGTGTTTTTGTAATTTTAATTTATTTTAGGGTTATTATTGTCTTTATAATTAAATTTTTTAATCTATCAATCCCAAAATAATATCGTTTTGGAAATAAATGCAGATAACTTACCTTTATATGCAAATGCAGAAATGTTTTTCTGATAAACAAATATAAGATAAAAAAGTATAAATAAATATCACACCTAATTACAAAACATGCTTACACATCACACACGGAACTTAAAGTCATGGATTCTAATGAGTGAAAAATTGACCAGTGAACCAATCCTATTGACATAGAGTAGTAACAACAAAGAACAAGGGCTATAAATTTTCCATGAAACTACAAGGATATTTTGTGGAAAATTATGGAGGTGAGGAACACTGGAATTGGTTGGCGGGTCTGTCTAGGTACACTAGGTAGTGCCTATTCTAGTCCTCATAAATTCATCATAAAACCAAAAGATGCGTTGGGGTAGTTCTCTGAAATTTTTTATCCGCGTGCTTCATGATTCTTCGTTAATATCTTCTTATCTGACTTTTAACCTCCTTTTAGCGCGTTCTTTCTTCTTTGTTAATTAAGTGCAGTGTTAATGGTTCAGAAAGTGAACTGGTAGGACTCTGGAAACTTTGAAAACTGTTAAAATAGAAACCAGTTCAATGTGTTGAAAATTTCAAGATAGTGTGATGAGGTAGACATGAAAGAATCAAATTTTTGGCCATGTCCTTATCGTTGTCCTATAAGTTTGAATTTTCAATTTTTCATACCCATGTGTCTCACAATAAATGATAGGGAAATTCATAACATGTTACGGGAATCCTAAAGGACAACAATCATCAATAGATGTCACTCAGCTGACAATACATGCTGATTAGAGTGAGGAAAAAATTTAGATTTGTAACGCCTGGCTGCTTTAAGTATGAATAATGAGGAGAATGATTCGTTTATAATTTTTTTTAAAATTATTTTATAAATTATACTATGTTTTCTCGGGAGAATATAGTATAATTTGTAAGAGTTTATAAACAAAAAAATTTGTAAATATAAACTGCCCGAATAACTATTCTCACATATTAATACAAGATTTTTTAGTATATTTTGTCTTCACTTGCATATTTTTTGAAAAAATTTCTCAGAAGGTCGTTCATTTCAGAATTATTGCAAGTTAAGTATGCTTAACTATAGAGTTTTTCCGTTCCGGACTACCAAAAAGTAGATGCATCTAGTTAATATAGGTAGTACTAATTAATTCTTATAAGCTATCCTCAACTATGCAGTTTCATACCTGCATAGTCTTTGAAATTCCTCTCTTTCAAGTGTCGATTCGATTCATTCATGTATCCCGCCACTGGAAGCCTGCCAGGAGCCGCTCCTTATCTATGTCCTTTTGCATCATGTCCTTTCGTATCAGCGATCACTTCATGCCCTCGTCAGCGCCTGAGATGTTACAGGATTCGATTCCTATCAAATATAGCTTTTTGTAGAGGGACAAAAGACTTTCCAATTTAGAATTAGTACCGTAGTCAACTTGAAGCTTATAGAAATATCGGATCAATTTATCTCAAAAAGATAATTAAGATTGATATAAAAAAAAAAAAACAAGAGTACGTTACATTCTCAGTTGTTAATTCTAAAGTACTGTATCATTCTTCCACGATGATTGGTTCATTCTAAAACAGAAAAAAATAAAATAAAAAAGCCTTACTAACGGAAATTTTTATGGTACAAGCGTGGTATTATTTTTTTAGTGAAAAACACCAATCAAAAATAAATAAAGAATGCGAAATTTGAATGGAAGTCGCAGTCGCACGTCCGACTGTGGTATCAAAAGTTTCCTCCTTACTAACAACACGTAAAAAATATACGAATGTTGAGTAAATCGAAAATATTTTGCAATGCTGGTGTCAATAACCATTTGAAGTGCCAATATACAGTTCCACGCTGAAATCCGAGAGGAGTGGGTCTGTTTAGGTGTCAATATACAGTGCCAATACTCAAAACCACACTCCCAAATGATTTGCAAAAAGCAGTTCCGTGAAATTTTGATTCACCAAATAGACGAACAATTAATTAGCTACCATTTTTAATGTTTTAAACAATGAAGGATTTAACCAAATAAATAAAAATAACAATCTATTTTGATAGGGGCTAAATTATTATTTTACTGAATGGTCAAGCTAAATAAAGAAACAGAGAATGTATCAAAAAAAAGAAAAGAAAAAGAAAAGGAAACAAAGAGAATCTAATGGCTTAATAAAGTTGTGGGTTGTACAACAAAGTTCTTGGTAATTAAGCGACTCGTAGCTTAAGGCTCCAAAAAGGAGATGCAATATCCAATCATTCCCCTTCTTTACTCTGCCTTTTCAGTTCTCTGTGGAACTTCCCGTTGCTATAGGTTGGAAACTAACTAGGAGATAATCAAAGAAAACCGCAAAACCTTTTCTTGATATTGTAATGGACATGGAAGACTTTGGTAACTTCATAACATTAATATACCTTTCTTTTCCATTTCTGTAATTTCTTAGCCTTCTGAGGATCCTCGGCAATTAAATTATGGTTGATGAAACCATTTTGATTGAAACTTGATCTGATTCTCTTATGCCCTCTTTTATTTATTTATGTAATATTTTTTTATTGTTGTTTTGACAACTCTAATTGCCTTGTGCAGGGAATGAGCAACCCAGTTATGTACCATCCGAACTGGTCAGTTATTCATCAAATACTTGCAATGTAACATACTATTGCTATTTGATAGAGTTGAGTCTGGATTTCAACTATGACATATCGGTTAATGACATTGTTCTTGCAATGAGGAGTGAACTTGACTCAGAAATCACAAGCACATCATTTGATATGTGTGTTGACAGGGGGAACATGTCAGTAAACCTCAGACATGTGGAAACTATTCATCTTAGCCCAGATGAGGTATGCTTGCAAGCACTTTTTTCATGGTAGCTAGCTGGTGTCAAAGAAGATTCAATGTAATGTTATATGTATTTGTATATTTTTATTTTACAGGTTCAAAAATGTAGAAGATTTCAGACCACCCTCTTTAGGATCCTTCTGGATTGTGACAAGAATAAAATAACCAATGTTTCAGATGAGTTTAGTTTGGGAGATAATCCTGAGATTGATTATCTTCTGCTCCCAGCCACTGCTACAAATTCACTTGTTGATTGGAAGGCTATTTTTTCTTTTCCTTTTTCATCTGAAAGCAAGTGTGAGTGTAAGGGTCATGCTCATGATGTGTGGACAAAAAATGGTTTGGTTTGCTCTTGCAAACTTAAAAATTGTGTGGTCTCCACTCCTCATAATGGTTTTATTTATATCATTACTGGTGAAATGAAATTGAATGGAAACTCACGTCTACCTCACCTAAGAGGTAAGAGAGCTACTACTTACAAAGATTACTTCAAAAACAAGTAAGTAAATTTTTGTAGCTACTACTACTGGTGTGTATTAGTCTTACATGTCACCCGTTTGAGCCTTGTTTCAAAATTTCAGACACGGGATTGAATTGCAATTTGAAGATCAACATTTACTTCAAGGAAGAAGTGTTTTCAAAGTGAACAATTACCTTCTGCGGCACAGAATAAAGAAGGAGAAAGGTTTAAGTTAATACCTTGGTTGCTCATATCTTCTTTTCCTATTATTGCATTTAAGGATGCTTGTTTCGTTTGAACGGTTTTCAATATTTGAATCAAAACGCCCTCTGTATTGTTTTTGGGACACGCAGATAGATGAAGTTCACTAACGATGTATTGGTGTGGTTCCATTTTAAGTAGCTTAAGTTGTCACAACACTTGCTCATCATTAATATTGAAGCTATTTTAGTGCCATTTGACTGAATTCATTATCAATATAATGTAACCTGACTGATTTCTGTTGTTGGTGTTGGTGTTGCAATTTTAGGACCAAGCAAGTCCTCTGTTGAATTGCCCCCGGAAATTTGCTCTATAATAATGTCACCAATATCAGTCAGTACTATATACTCGTTTTCATTTATTCCATCAATCATGCATCGGCTTCAATCCTTGCTTGTTGCTTTCAACTTAAAAAAGATGCTATTGGATCATTGCACGCAAAACGATATCCCAATCTACAAGGTATGCTTTTTCTTCATGAGAAAAGCTTATCATTAGATAATGCTGACTGACAGTTTATATTGATTTTCGTGTTCATCTAAAATAGACAATTTCATGTCTCAGTTGATAGTATAGTCGTCCAATGTTAAAGTGGGAAATAATTGTCCTAGACTCAATTTTGAAGCCCCCACCAAAAAGCTAGAAAACGAACATTTTTATTGTGATATCTATTTTCCTAGATGTATAATTACAAAAAGAAAAAATGATTAACTTAATACGGAAGCAGGGCACTTTGGGTAAACAAGGTACAAGAACTGATTCTTCCCCTTCCCATCCCATCCTTAACCAAAATAGTGTATAGATTGACCAGATCACTATTGTTAATCTTAAAAAAGACTTATGCGCCGTATAAATTTTGAAGGAATACATACTATTAAATACCAAGTGAGTTGTTCTCTTTTTATATATATAAGTATTTATATGGATTTTGTTATCGAATGTATTAAAGATCATAATAAGGTACATTTAATATACTCTAATAAATGCTTTAGTTGTTACTGCAATCTTCTTTCATGCATTATCGCTTGATAATAGAACTTAAATTTTTTTATTAATTTTTGTTGTTTCAACTTCTATTTTTTTATTTTATTTTATTTGGGTACAAGTATCTGAATAGTTCATTGTAGGTAATGCAAGCAATTACTACAAAGGAATGTCAAGAAGCCTACGATTATGATTCCTTAGAGACACTTGGAGATTCTTTTCTAAAGTACGCAGCTAGTCAACAGCTTTTCAAGACCAATCAAAATCATAGGGAGGGTACTCTTACAAAAGAGAGGGAGAAGATGATTTCCAATGTTGCCTTGTTTGAGTATGGTTGCAGCCGCAGACTTCCGGTATTATTTTTTGTTTTTTCTTAATATTTGTTGTTACATTTTATGAGCTTGGTATTAATTACTTATAGTGTTTTGTTTCAATTCTGGGTCCTTTATCTGTGTTCTGCGTATTTAACATGGATGGTTCACTTCCCAATCTATTTTATTTTGAAATGAAAGATACATTTTCTGATCTGCTAACAAAAAGCAATAAATAATTTAATTTTAGTTGCTTCTGTTAGGAATTGACTGAGTGCAATATTTCTGCCTCATTATCTTGTACAACCCTGCTTTTATGTACTGAGTGTTGAATACTAATATTTTTTCTTGTTCAAAAAATTATATTGGCTTTCTTTATCCATGTATTATCATTTAATTTAGACTATATCAAAAGAAATCAACTAAATTACCCTTGAAAATGTGCCTCAAGTGATTTTCCCCTATGCCAAACTCTACAAATTCTGAAGTGTATGGCAAGAGAACAAGATCAAATTGCTTAGCCTAGCTACAGTTCAGGGCTATTACATATTGTTAAAATCATCTGAATTACTAGCTTTCTTGGTTCTTAAAATATCACATTGAAACTATTCCTGGTTTAATTTTGTAGTAGTGATTTAACATTTTTATTCAAATGGAAACTTTTTCATGTTGTAGGGTTTCATCCAAAAAGGGGCTTTTGATCCACAAAAGTGGATAATACCTGGCGATAAGTCAAAAAGTCTCTCGCTAAAAGAAGAGTTTATTTCTAGTAGAACAAGAGTATATGTTTGTGGTACAAGAGAAATAAAATCCAAGGTTGTTGCTGATGTTGTTGAGGCACTAATTGGTGCCTTCATTAGCACCGGAGATGAAGAAGCTGCTATATCCTTTATGAATTGGATTGGCATCAAGGTTGACACTAACATTATACCATATAAGAGCCACCCTAGCTTTGCCCCGGAGAAGCTTGTAAAAGTTAACCTTCTAGAGTCCTTATTAAACTACTCATTCCAAGACCCTTCCCTTTTAGTAGAAGCCCTGACCCATGGTTCTTACAAGCGGCCAGAAATTCCAACATGTTATAATTATCAGGTACATATACTTAGTAATAATGAAGTCCATGCCAGCATACAATTTTGCTATTCTATCACTTTGAAAGCCATGATGTAACATAAAAAGTAGGTTATAGTAATTATAATTTTCAGTTATACTTGTGTATTTGTTATTTACAATTTCGGAATGAAAAACTCTTACTTGCCCTGCAGAGACTAGAGTTTCTTGGCGATGCAGTGCTGGACTATGTCATCACAATGCATTTTTACAATGAATATCCTGATGACAAGTTGTCATCAGAATTTTTGACTGACATGAGGTCTATTTCTGTGAATAATGAGTGTTACGCACTTTCAACCATTAAAGCCAAGTTGCACGAACACATACTCTGTGACCCAGGCGTAGAAAAGCAGATTGCAGCCACATTGAATGGTGTTAACAAGTTATCTTTAAAATCTATTTTCGGATGGGAGTTGGAAACATATTTTTGTGAGGTCAGCTGTTATTATTCAGATTTGAGTACATGACTTGTCCCAGACATATCACTGCCATATTTGTGAATCTCTTCATTATTATAGTTTGATGGAAACATAGTCTTTAGAGGTTACAATGGAAGGAACCTACACTTACTAAATTTTTAATGTTTTTTTTATTAGATGTTATTCTATTTCTGACAGGTACTTGCAGATGTTATAGAATCTATAGCAGGAGCGATTTTTATTGATTCAGGGAACAAGAAAGTTGTTTTCCAAAGCATAAGGCCTCTATTGGAACCCCTGGTTACACCCGAAACATTAAAGAAACATCCTGTGAGGGAGTTAAAAGAACTATGCCAAAGAGAACAATATAAAAGGAAAGATAATGTGGAGTCCCTTGACATGGATGTAACTTCAGTTACAATAGAGGTGGAAGCTAACGGGATCATTTTCAAGCATACTGCAAAAGCTTCTAATAAGTTCACAGCTCAAAAGGTAGCCTCCAAGGAAGTTTTAAAACTTTTGAAGGTAACCAGTTTAAAATTATCAATGAACAAGCGATTTTTATTCCCTTTACTTTCTGTAGTCTTTTTGTTTTGTTGGTTTGTAAATGAAATAATTTATCATGTAATACCCAAATGATTTTTTTGAAAGTATTGTAAGTGTTTAAATCTTTTGCCAGTAATTGCAAATTTGGTCAAATCTCTTGGCTAATAGATGTTATACATCCATATAATGCTAATATGGTGGCGTGAACATATTAGGGCTTGTGCTCATGATATAATGTGCTAATATGATGATGATGCTAATACTGCAGTCAATGTGTTTTTGAGGACCGAAACAAGATAGATTCCTGAACAACAGACAAATATTTTCATAGTATGTATTCTTAAAGAACCTTTCTATGCATTTATGTTATATGGGAAAAGGGGAGAAAAATGATAATAATTTAAGCGGTAGGTCATCAAACCACATAATTGCATATATAAAATCTTATTTACTCACTCCAAAACTGAAAGATGTGATATTATACTAAATCCCAACATAACTAATATGCAAATCAACCCAACAAGATATCCATCAATTACAAAAGTGTATCAAGTAGCATCAAGTGGAGGGTATTCATAACAGATTGTATATTATACAGCTAGTGACACGGATCTTGTCTTCAACCTAAGATGTTAGATAAGTTGAAGACTTTTATGTGAAAAGATCATAGATAGTACAGATTGCTGGAAATTATGCAGAAAAGATTTACATACTATAGAATTCTCTTCAAGGTCTAACACAAGCAAAACTCTAGGGCTGTGCAGGGGTGGGAGATGTAGGAGGCTTGAAATCTGAATACTGCAAAGCAAGAAGAAAAAGGGAAACACAGATGGATATTAAGGATGATAAGCATATGTTAAGGAGCGTACAATATAAAGCATAAAATGATCTTGATAAAATCACTTATCAATGAAAAAATCCCCTAATTTCTTAATTATTCAAACCTTTTCTTGGGGCAGAGGGTCCTCGGTAAGAGGGTTATGTGTAATTAACAAAGTAAGTTGGTATTTGACAATTAAAATACAATTAATGTCATGTGATCGAATAACAAGATTCAATTTTATGTAGTCATAATTAGGATGGAACAAAAAAATATATGGAAAGATAAGTGCAAAGAAAATTGACCAACATAAACATATCTAATCAGCTCAGGAAATGAAAATTTTATGGAGCAAGGAAGTTGAGACATTACGTATGGGTATGGTGAAAGTGGTTTTAATAACCCCGGAAGTGATTCTGCCATAACTTCAGTGTTTGGTACCGAATTTATTTCAGGAGCAGGTCCTGTTACAGCATCTACTTTGAACTTGGAGATGGAATCAGGAGTAGCTTCTGCTTTCTGTACAGTCCAATCTGCTGTAGCAGGCTCTGGGCTTTTATCTATTGGGGCGGGAAGAGCCTTATTATTTGTGGAGCTTGGTAGAAGAGCCTTTCCAATTTGCTAATGTTCCCAGCCATGCAAGAACAGCAGAATATGAAGGGGAGAAAAAGGAGTACCACTTTAGGCAATTATTATGAAATAGCTAAATTACGTTGTTGATTCAATACATATGCCAGAATGATCACATCATAAATACCTTTATTTCATCGACAAGATCTTTAGGGGCAACCTTGGTGTTCAAGAACTCATCAACTTGCTGTAGTGTTTGCTTTCGGTCCTACCACAACGTTAAAAAAAAAAAGGAAAGAAAAACAAATAACTAATGGAACTGTCTTAATCATGATGCAATGACCACCCTCAATCATCAATAAAAGCCATAAAGTACAAATGCATGAGTTTTACTGCTTAACTATCATTGATATAATAATATATGCACTTAATAAAAACATGGAACATGAGAGTACAGAAAAAATACACCATCTATGGAAATACCATGTGTTCACAACAGTCAATAATGAGGATTAACTATTGTCAAACATCCGTTGGACCACCTGAATATCCAAACAGATCTCTCTTTTTCATGACCAAAAATCTAGATTATGCCGATCACACAATTTTATTTAGCAACCTTGTGCATTGGATCATATTGTGACTGGCAACAGGTTGAAATTGCTGGACTACCACGACCCTAAACATTCTTCTTCTCAACCATAGAGGGAGACTGAATGGTTTTACAATATTAAACATGCATTGTTCTCCTTCTCTCTCTCTCTCTCTCTCTCTCTTGCATAGTTACAGATATCTGATATTTACTTTTCTCAGTAAACCCAACAGTATGAGGACTTAAAAAATCAATGCACAAATATGCAACAGTACAAGGGGTGCAATTTTACTGCCTCTTTAAGTTTTTCTTAACAGTATATAGGTTAAGGGGCTGCATCCATTACAGGGGCCATGGGCCAGAATGTTAATGCACAACGAATCCTAAGGGTGACGCAGAGACATAAAGCCAACATGGTGGCCAGCAGAAAAGATTTATTATTAAATGAGATCAATGATAATTAAATAATGTGAATGGAAATGCATCCATGTGGAAGAAAACATACTCAAAATGCATCCATGTGGAAGAAAACATACTCACCTCAGCAAATAGAAGCTTCTGGCCTGCAAACTGAATAAGTGCAACTGATCCTAAAAGTTGGAGAATTGTTTCTATCTAACAGATTAACACCATCAAAAAGTAATTTTTTATCAGTGTAGTCAGGTCATAATGTATTTTTGCTTGATGAAAAAGAAAGAAAAATAACAAGTAAATAACTCATCGGATCAACCTCAGAAATAGCTAATACACCGAGTCCAATAGCCGCAGCAATCCCAAGAGTAATAGCCAAGCCATCAGAGGTCTCCTATAAGACACATCCATTAATTAGAAATTCACAGAAATGTTAAAAATTAAGAACATGAACAATAGCTATCATTTTAAAGAAAATGCATTTTGCTTTTACATACCCAAAAAATATCTCGTAAATTAATTAATTTTTTTCAAAAATTTCAATTACATAATCAGAGAACAGGAATCAGAAAGATTTCCATAGGATATCTTTGTCCCATTATCCAATAAGCCAAGTAATATTTTTATATGTTAATAAAGTTCAATAACCCAACCAGGAGGCTACAACCCATATTCACATTGAGGAAACAAATACTTCGTTATCCAGAATTCAGAAGAATATAGTATAACATTTATACATCTGTGAGCATTATGCATAAGAATTTAGATAATATGTACATAATGGAGTTCTTGGTTTATATAATGTAAAGAGTACCATCTAAGACAGCATCATATATTGTCAAGTCCATTATAGTTTCTCTTTAGTCTGTTCCCTTTCTTGCTAGCTTACATTCTCAATTTGAATAAGCTAACTTTTAGTTTCTCTATTAAACAATTTAAGTGTGTCTACTGTGGTCTAAGTTAACAGAAAGCATATGCCGTATTAATCTGAAAACTAATAGTAATGTTATGCGTGTGCATCAGCACTCAAAATTACAATTATTATTAGATAAATCTGAGATACATACTCCTATTGTGCCAGAGATAGCATCTGTCAAATTGCCAAAATCCAAACTCAATGCTTTCCTTGGTGGTGTCCAGGGAAGCCCACTATTCTGCAGAATTCCAGTCCGGGTCAGAAAATAGGTAAACAGATAAAATTAATATTTTAAATTAAAATATTATAAACATGAAACGAAAAAAATCAAGGGACAATAAATACCATCCATCCTCGTGGTCCTTCTGCACCATCCTTAATTGCATAAGCAGCCTTAAATCCATTAATGGTGACCAACTCTGCAACCAGTTCGGAGTTCTTATCAAATCTGGCTTCCATCACAAGTTTACTCAATCAGCTTCAACTTCAAGTACTTTTTTTGTGAAGTAAAAGAAGAAACAACAAAATAATTAACTTAAGTTCCTAAAATGCCGATGTAGACTACAGTTGGAGGCTGGGGTTGTAATGTTAATATTCTCAGAGAGGTGACTCTGTAACATGAAAGGTCACATTCAACACAGATTCTATAACTTTTTTTTTTCCATAGAGATAAATGTTATTTTTATTTTATTAAGAAGAGCACACAAAATTTTCGTTGAAGTTCATCTTTCTTTCTTTTTTCTTCTTCTAATTTTCCTAGTGGAAAGACTTATATCCAGCCCTTAATTTATCAAGGGCGTTGGTAATTTGAATGCATGCTAAGTGTCATATTAGCCTTTCAATGTCAATAAGCATTCTTGAAAACTTTTTTTTTTATTTCACCATTAATAGCCAAAATGAAATGAGTGAACGCCATATGGTATGGATCTTAATGACAAACAAAGAAAAACAACAAATAAAATCGCCATGAACTCTACTCACTTGTCCAGAATGAACAATGTGGTATTCTCTGGTTCCTTGAACTTCAAAGAAAGTCTCTGCAGGAACCTTGGCTTATCATCACCCTTGTAAGTGATTGACACTGGCTTCTTCCTCAAACCTCCAACATCAGGGGTACCCACTTGCCTAAATTCTACAGGTGCTCTTATATCAAGCAACTGAGCATTCTTATCAGAACCCAGTTTTGCATATGCATTTTTGGCTGACTCAACTCCCCATGGCTTAGGCTTCTTCAGAAACTGAGACAAAACCAGTGGCACAGCCAAAATAGCTACTCCTCCGGCTATAATAGCTGGGTTCTCTGTTCCAAAACTGATAACACTATCTATAAACACATTTGCATCGAAGTCCCCAGAACTAGGAGCACTCACAGATTGCCCCAATGCCTCCTCATACGTTAGAGCTCTAGAAAGTCCATTATTGACAACTGAAGCTGCAAGAAATAGACCCCCACGTAAACCTTTTGATAAACACTCTAGCAGAGCTGGTTTCTTGTTGCCAAGACTAGAAAAATTGGAGACTTTGCTTGTGGAATTTGTAGGCAGTGATAGGAATTTTCGGGGTTCTATTCTTCTATCAGAAAGCACTGATAATGGGGTCAAGCCAGCTGCATTGAGGGTCTCCATTGCATAATTCTATATCACACTGACTCTCTGTGGCACTCAGTTAATCAGTGGAAGAGGTAGAAGTGTGTGAAGTACCATGAGAATCAAAGTGTTGATGCTGGTTTTGTATCCATGTGGACTGTGGAGAGTGAAGAAAAGGCTAAGACTGTGTTGGTACGATTCAGTGGGTGTCCTTTGAGTGGAGGTAGTAAAGCAATTAGCCATTGTCTTCCTCGTCTACTATTGTGTGGCCTAGAAACGTCTGAGAAATGTTGACAAACTACTATGATGTATGCAACCAAGTACGACATGGGAGAGCGTAGTACAATACTAAATAGTTGGTAAATAGAACTTGTAAGCACGTAAAGTTCGACACTGCAAATGGTTCAAGCGTACTCCATTTCTTTGATTGAGTTTTCATTGATTTTGACAAATATAAAATGATATAATCATCATTTCAATTATGATAATAACTATAACTGATTAAGTTTCATTCGTAATTACACCCTTTAAACTGTCTAGCCCAGTCTACAAACAATGCTCGGAAGTACAATGTATGTAATGAAGTAATACTTGGAATTATACCAAAAAAAAAAAAAAAAGTAATACTTGGAAGAGTCCAGTACAATTCCAAATAGTTGACAACTAAAAAAAAAAATTGGGAATATAGCCAATTTCTAAACTAGTACAGTGTACCTAACAAATGGTCGTTTTAGGATGAGCTATAGGATGCTCGAGCGCACAAGTTTTCTACATCGATTTACTCTCTAATCTTTATTCTTTTTTTATTGAAAAATCAGTGAGTAGTAACGTAATAGCAATGACCATTTGAAATGGTCGACTGGCCATTCAGAATAATTGCTCATTCTTACTAATTTTGTACTGTGAGCCGTCATTCTTGTTAATTTTCTAAAAAAAAATTTGATTTTATAATATTTTATTCATAAATATTTAAAGGATTACATGCATAAGCTTGTAGATTTACTCACAATTTCGTTTGAATTTACATAGCATCACTTTTTTTCTTATATATATATATATATATATATATATATATATATATATATATATATATATAAATGACTTGTAAAATTTTGCATATTTGATAATTATCCAAATACCCTTTTTTTTAATGATGTTTTTGTTGATTAAATATCCATTTTTCACCGCTAATACAAAAAAAATTCCTTTTTTTTTTTAAATTACAAATGAAGTCCGAGACCAATGTGGGGAATGAGATTAATTTCACTCCAAAAGAATCTTTTGACTACATGACTAGATAATTTTTAAAAAGATTACCCGACACTAGACAAGCTTTTCCCATTTTAAAAGTAGGGCATCATGTTTTAACAAAGATTTATAGCGGAATTACAAAATCGTCTGTTAACGTTCAAACTCAAATAATATAATTGTCATGAGCAAAGTTGATTGGATAATTCTTTCCTTTAGGACATGGAATTGCATTTCGTTCTATCCACCTCCCTACAGCACCTACCCCTTTTGTTCTGACATCATATCACTGTAAGTTGTAACTGTACTAACTGAGCATTGCTTAAGCTAGACCATAACAAAAAAGAATCCCATGTTAACCAAGTCCATTAAATTATACTGAATACAGGATGAGTAAAGGTATGAATAAACATGAACATGGGGGTATAAAAGCAGTACACACACTGACTTTCATAGAAGGTCAAAAAAATAATCCAAACCTTGACCAATTTCCCAGATCGAGATGCCACATCCCCATGAACGGGCTTCCTCTAACCGCAAAGAAATTGACTTTAAAGATGGATAGAAGACCGCATGCCTGATCTCCTTGTCATCAGTGTAAAAGAAAAAATGCTCCCCACTATTCTTATCCCACTGTAGTTCTGGCCTGTGCTTCTCCAAAAGTGCCAGGTAATCCCTTCCAATAATAGCTCCGCCACCTGAATCTGCACTTTCAAATTTCAATATGTAAAATAAAAATGCTTTTACATGGCAATACGCCAGCAAAACCAAGAAGGAAAGAAAGAGTCTTCAAAGATGATCTCAAAATATCAAAATTGCTCAACAAGGTGCTCATGTTCCACTCAAGCAATAAAGTTAGAAATATTATAATTGTCGGCTAGCTGGAACGCTCCAATGAAACATCCCTTTCCCGTTCCCCTTCTCCCTTCCTAGGACCTTCAGTAGGAGTTCCTTAGACACCACTCTAGTATTGGGGCCTTCCTTAGCCCATGCAGGGTCTAGTACCAATATATATACATGATGCCATTGTGAAATTAAAGTAAGATAACAAAAGAAGGAATTACCCTTTGAAAGAGAGAAGTCGTTTCCATAGAAGTTGATCCCAAGAAGTATCTTGGGGGCAAGACTTTGGGCTCTATTGCCAGAGGTACCAAGAAGCAGCTCCAGAATAATTTGAATCCATTTCAAAGGTGCATTAGGACCAGGGTTATGAGGATTAGAGAAGTCATATGTCATTAATGAGAATCCATCCACGGATTCACTTAAAGTCTCAAGATCTTTTGGACCAAAGTCATGCTCTTGCAGCTTCTCAGAAGATGGTGGACCTATAACATACACCAACTGCAGCTGTTGCCCACTATTTTTCGCTGAGCTTATAGAATGCAGTGCATCTCCAAGCTGTTTTACAAACTGCAGTGCCTGCGCTTGCAAAAGAAGAAAGCACCACATCAACTACTATAGTGCACAAATACTTTGTCTTACAGGAAAAATGATGAATGAATTTACAATTTTCTTTTTTTCCTGTGGCAATGTTTACATGGAATTATCACATAATAAGACAACTATCTTATAGATGAAGGTGGAAAAATTGTAACGGTGCATGTCAAATTGCAGAGAACATAGTTATTTGGTCTATATTCCACATTGGAAGGGAACCTCAGACATCACCTATGAAGCACCGAGACTTCAAAAACTCTGACGTGTCGTGTCCGACACTTCCCGACACTCTAACACATGTTATAGAAATTCAAAAAAAAGTTCAAAGATTGCGTTGCGTTGAATTTTTAGTTTCAACTATTAGATTCGTTGAATTTCGATTATCATTTTATTGAGTTTAATATAAATATTTGGGATATCTTATGTTCCTTTGCAAAATTGATGAATATTATAAGTTTAGTTTCATTTTTTTGTTAAATTATTAAATATTAAATATAATATACACTACATAAATTAAAAATATTATTTAATATCAAAACGTGTCCTAACGTGTCGAAATCTAATATTTTTTAGAATTAACGTGTCGGGGTGTCGTGTCGTATCGTATAGTGTCACGTGTCAATATCAATGCTACATAGGACATCACTCAGAAATCACTACATATAAAGTATCAGCAATCGTGATATAACCATTCAATGACTGCCCCGACCAAGTAAACACTAAAAAATAAGAGCTTGGAAGAAGACTTAACAGATTAGTACATGCATTCCAGGCAGAGTTTGTTATTATAGCTTTGCGGTATAAAAGGTATCTGAAAAGACTAAAAGGAACAGATGCTCACCAAATTCCGCATGCTTAGATCAAGCAAAATGCCGTAAGCTGCCCACCTTGACCAAGATTCTAAGACAATACCATCATATCCCATTTCCCTACAAAAGAAGAATATTCACATGAAAAGCAAATCATAGCACAACAGAGAGAATGCATCAAGAAAAAAATTGCTTCATGAAGATCCAAAAATTTGCTTCCATAAATAACTTCTGATATCCATGCAGTATGTAGGTAATGGGCTTGGTATAGCGGAAGAACTTCTCTACCCCAAGGCCTTTGGCTGGGTAAAGGAAGCATTAATATAACATAAACCATGTTCAGATAAATTAAATAATGGGAAAAATACAAAAAAGGAATTATGGGAGAACTATTTCTGGTTAAAGAACAACTAATCACTCAATGGTTACATAATAACCACTTGTTGAACATCATTAACCAATCGAGTGGTTAGTTGACTTGTTCCTAAACTAGAAATGTTTTTTATCAAGAATTCCCTTTAAGTGATTTTCACATGAATAATTTCCCCTCTTCAAGAATTAGATGATGATGTGCACATTGTAGTATGTCATTTGCAGCAGGCACCGAGAGACAAATCCAATCATTCATTACTGCAGCAGATGATAATCAAATACTGAATAGCTAAATTAGTGACCAAGAGAAGCTTATATAAGCAAAAACTAAATGTCTTTCTAGCATAAAGGAAATAAATCTGTTCCCACAGTGCCATTGCCTAAAAGATGTACCGAGAAAAATAACCAGAGGCTTACTTGCACTCTGTTACTATAAGGTCAATAGCTTTGCTCCTTTGTTTCTTCGTTCTCAGCAGCTCTGCTGGTGATGCTTCCAGAACAACTCTAGGCAAGATCTACATGCAATGGAAAAAAAAATGGATGGATCAATAAGGCCAGATACAAAGAAAAGAACAACAATAATACCAGGACAATTAATCAAGTGTAGGTCCCACAAGTTAATGATATCACAAAATAAGATTAGCCATTGGGAAATTGGAAGGTAACATTTGTAGCCAGTCCAAGGCCCAAAACAGACTGGTCTGGAGGCTTCTACTTGGTAATTGGTATGAGGGGTAAAATAGGCAACAACCTGAAAGCAACCCAGTGTCACTCCCATTAGAAAGCCCATACAGAACTTCCCAATTTAGCTCTATTTTTCTAGTTTACAAATCCAAAATTAAGAATGTCATCAAGTATATAGCTTTCGAAATGAAAATAAGATATGCACAAAAAACTTTTTGGATAAAAGCAGCATTTAACTTGTCATTGATGAGATGAAAATAAGTTTAAAAGTAGATAACTTATTCATTGTACCAAAGCTTCTCCTGTCTTTTTAAGCTCTGAGATCCATCCTTTGTCAGCATTATGTCTCCCCTCTAGAACTAAGCTAGTCTGTTGACTGGTAATAACAACTGATGAAGCAAAACCATAAAGCACTATAATAAAAACTAATAAATAACAACCCCTACGATTTATGATTGAGTATTCACTAGAAATTCAGTGCGGTGCATAAATTATAAACATACATGAGGACAAAAAGTATTTTGATGACCCTTAAGGCTGTGATGTTAGTTCAAATCAACCCTGGATATCCTATTTCTCAAAGAGAGGCATCCCAGATCATAATGTGTCATGAAAAAGAAGGCTACATAACAAGGAAAACTTCAGGAATCACAATCTAAAGCTAATAGAAAATTTTGGATGCTTGCAAAATACATTTGAAAGCTCTGACGAACAGGCACATGGAGGGTTAGGAATGGGATAGTTCTTAACAACCCCACCCCTTTATTTCAGGAATAGATCCGCTCATGTTAAAATTTCACGTGAACTTGTCATGAAAATTTGTATCTATCTCTCTCTTCATTAACATTTACAAATTTTGATAGAGTTCCACCTTTTTTTTTTTTTGGTAACCAGAGTTCCACCTATTTAACATTTATGAACAGAGCAAAAGACAAAAAAAATTCACTTGACAATGTCACTTGAAATTTTAACATGAGAGGATCCATTGTACTCTATTTCTTCATTAAGTCACTTAGGACGGAGGTACATACCTCTTTAAATCATACCAGACGGGTGATAAATGGGTAAACTTTGAGTTGAACCTTTTTGCCATTTCATAACCCCGAGAGTTCCTGCAATAATTAACATCTTTGAAGATGTATATAAATTGTAAACACAAAAATGTCTTTAACAGGAATAATAACACATAAAGGAATAGATCTCACCCCGATAGATAAGAAAATTGAATTTTCATTATAAACATAAAGCAATACAACTCTGAAGATGTTACAAGTTAGCACCCAGAACAGATAGTAGATGAAATGAAGCGGTTTGTACTTTGTATCCGGGAAAAAAAAAGAACCAAGAGAAAGGAAGAAAAATCATGATACTGTAAGAATCAAAGCCATAATTTTCAAATTGTGACAAGAAATATTTCAACAAGATTTAAAAAGTGTTAAGGGTAGGGTGTAACTATTACATACCATACTTCTTTGTTTCAACCAGCTAAAATCAAATAAAGAGTTACGATCTTAAGAATCACACAGACTAATGAACTATATCATAGGAAAACATGTCCGGATCATCTATGCTAATGTATAAAGCTAATACTCCTAATGATCTCTCACTTAAATTAAAATTAAAAAAATTAAAAATCATTAACTTACCACCGCAACCAAAACTATTCAACTCTCTCTCAAGTCTCGACTCCCTTCATTTACCTCACTAACTCTCTACTTAAAGAACTTATTAAAAATTATTTTGTTTGCAAATTAAGATTTTTGAGTCAGTTGATGCTCAAATTTAAAATTAGGAGTAAATTATTATGCAATCATGTGTTAAAATAAAATTTCAAATCTGAGTACACCTGCATTGCAGTTGCCACTAGTACAAAAATAACACATACTATTATTATGCACAAATATTGCATGTCAAGCAGCATATTCGTGATTCATCTAAGAAAATGTTAATATCAATATACATTTAAAAAAAAATGCATACCAGGGAGTAATGTAGCCAAGCACAGGATAAGTATAATGGCGCTGAGAGGTATTTTCTGATACTCTTGAATTCTCCTGATTCATTATAAACTTACAACATTAGATACTACAATCAAAACTTATACTCTCTACGGTACTATAAACTTACACACACACACACACACACACACAAATCAAATAAAACACAGAAAATTCCACATCGCAACCAAACAGTAGAATCGTTTTGGCAGTACTTACAGTGAGTACATCTTGGTAATTGGCATCGGCTGTGACAAGGCCTCTTTGATACACATACGATTCCTTATATTGCGGAGGAGAAGATTGTCTCAACCAGTATGCCACGACGGCAATGACGGACGACACGACGAAGAAGGGAACGAGTTTTCTGCGAACCGAAGCTGAGTCAGCCGGTTCATTTCGACCAGAAGATGATTGGACTCGGTTTTCCCGGCGACCGGAACTCGAGCCGGGTCGGTGATCTCGCTTCTTCGCCATGTCCACGGAGCGATCACTAGGGTTCCCAGTAGCTAAAACGACAGCGTAATGCTCCCCGAGATATTTGATGGCACTGGCGTGAGTACACGTGTTGCCTCATGCCACGTGTACAAGCTGCTCTGTGTTCCATGTTGACATTCACTAGGTCTTCTGTTAAAAAAAAAAAAAAAAGTTATACTCTTATGTTACATAAGATGGATCTTTAGTGTCATTTTTTCTTGAAAAAAATGTGTCTCTTTTATTTTCTAAAAATTAATGGAACCTACTTTATTTATCTCTTAACATGAGAAAATTTCTTTCATACTAAATGAGATAAGTAATCTCCTAAAAAAAATAAAATAAATTTTCAAATATTACTGGTTTTAAAGTTAATTTGTGATATTCCGAAATTCAAAATAGATTAATGTAAGTATTTTTTTTGAGGTTCTGAAGAACTAATCCGATGGATTTTTTTGAATTTTAGAAAGACGACGATTTTAATTTACTGAATTTATTTTAAATTTTAGAATGAACACAAATTAATTTTTTTATATAATAAATTAAAATGGAGCCATGATATTTGTTATTTGTCGAGGACCAAAAGGAACTCTGGACACGACGTCGTAGTGGAAGGCCTTATCCCCTTAAATGCGAACAACACTTGCGAAGAATAATATATCTTGTGTGAGGGTTTTGGGGTTTGCAGAATTGCAGTTGCAGATAAACCAAAATTATATCAAAGGCAAGAGCTTTAGCATCACAACTAGTTCTGATTGGTGAGTTTCTTCTCTTCTTTGCTCTGTTTTACTTTTATCCTCTTGGGTCTATTTGAAGAACCTTAATAAATGGAGCCTAAACTGTTGCTTTCTTCTTCTTCATCTTCGCCTTTACCATTCTTCATCTCAAATAAACTTCCTTTCCTTGAAAAACCAAAGCTTTCTGTCAAACCTCATTGCTCCCTCCAAAAGTCTCAATTTTTGGGGAGGAATTTGAGTTTGGTTGTGTCACGGCCAAAGGGAAATGTGGATGCTCATGCCCCATTTCGATTTTGGCCCATTAGAGCAGCGGTGAAGAGAAGGAAAGAGCATTCATTTGATAATGTGATACAGAGGGACAAGAAGCTCAAATTTGTTCTCAAGGTAAGGAAGATTCTAGTGAGTCAACCAGACCGGCTTATGTCGCTTAAGCAGCTTGGTAAGTTTAGAAGAGAATTGGGTCTGGAGAGAAGGAGGCGATTTATTGCTCTGTTGAGGAAATTTCCTGCGGTTTTTCAGATTATTGAAGAGGGGGTTTACTCTCTTAAATTCAAAATGACCCCAGAAGCTGAAAGGCTTTATCTTGAGGAATTGAGGGTTAGGAATGAAATGGAAGATTTGGTTGCTGTCAAGCTTAGGAAATTGTTGATGATGTCACTCGAAAAGCGGATATTGTTGGAAAAAATAGCACATCTAAGGAATGATTTGGGACTCCCACATGAATTTCGTGACACCGTTTGTCATAGGTACCCTCAATACTTCAAGGTTGTTGCAACTGAACGAGGCCCTGCAATTGAGTTAACACATTGGGATCCTGAGCTTGCTGTATCTGCAGCAGAGCTATCTGAAGAGGAAAATCGGATTAGAGAACTTGAAGAACAGAATTTAATCATAGACAGGGCTCCCAAATTCAAAAGAGTAAAGCTTCCAAAGGGTCTTAATCTTTCTAAGGGTGAGATGAGGAGGATAAGTCAATTCAGAGACTTGCCTTACATATCGCCATACTCGGATTTCTCAGGGCTAAGGTCAGGAACGAGGGAGAAAGAGAAGCATGCTTGTGGAGTTGTTCATGAGATTTTGAGTCTCACTCTTGAGAAGCGAACTCTCATTGATCACCTTACTCATTTTCGAGAGGAATTCAGATTCTCTCAGCAGGTGAGGGGGATGCTGATAAGGCATCCTGATATGTTTTATGTCTCTCTCAAAGGAGATAGGGATTCTGTGTTTCTGAGGGAAGCTTATCGAGATTCTCAGTTGGTAGAGAAGGACCGTTTATTACTTATAAAGGAAAAGCTTCGTTCTCTGGTTAATGTTCCGCGGTTTCCCAAGGGAGCTGCTCGCAGAAGAGTTGGTGGCATGCAAGAGAATAATGATAGCAGAGAAGATGAAAGCGGTGAAGAGGAAGAAAAATGGTTAGATGTTGATGATTTTATGAATGACCATGGATTTGAAGTCAAGGATGACGATGATGAGGACGACTGGAGTGATGAAGATGATGATGATACACCACCAGATTTTGATGAGGATGCTGGAATATTGGAGATTGAACAAGGAAAGACAATTAAACAAGTTGAAGACTCAAGACAGAATGACGAAATGGTTCTTCATCCTGTATTCCCTGATGGTCGTCCCAGAGAACGATGGTAATCTTCACAGGAGCTCTGAAGCTTGGAATTTTTCATGCAGGAGAGCATTTGGCTTCAAATTTTATTTTGGACTGGCTGATTTGTAATGGTTGCTTTAAGCAATGAGTTTTGACTTCACTACCTTGGAAGAATATATGTTATCTTACTAAAATGAGCATTCTTCATTTAGCATCCACAGTTCCTGAATTTGCTCTGTAACCAAATCTGAATGTCCAACGGATGTAAATGACTGTCTGCATCCTGCTCACTGTATAATAGATTGATGCTTCTTAAGTAAGTAGTATTATCTTTAAAACTTTTATTTGGAGTACTAAATGGAATGAATGAAAAGGTTCAACAGAATGATATCCGTTGCTGCATTTTAATTCTTTCTATTGATTTCTCATCGTTAAAATATATACATAGTGAACATCATGCTATAAAAATTTGCATGTTTAGTGGTGAAGTCTATTAGCCTTTAACCCATTTTTCAGATTGACAATTGATTCCATTACAAATATTGGATACATTGAAAATATAAAGTAATTTGTTTGTTTGTGCAAGATGATCTTATTTTGTACATTTTTCTTCTCGATTTAAGGTGTCTCTGGTTGGAGTGATCTCACTCCCCACTTTCGTAGCATCTGAAACAAGACGACTTTTTCCTTTTCGATATTTCTGTGTGTTTGAGAAAGTTTAGCGTAAATGGAAGATACGGAGACAAATCATATATTTCTCTTTCCTTTCCTGTGTCATTTTGGAGAGATACTGGGTCCTTGTTTTGGTTTTTTCCCTAGCCTGAGGCATCTTTGCTGCAAGGAATTCATACATTCATTTTGCGCAATAGTTAATTTAAGTTCATATCAGTCTCCTTTCATGCCTTCTATCGGTCTCAAATGTATTATTTGAATGATGACATTCTCGTGTTCTATTAAATTTTGTATGCAATTAGCTATTATCTTCATCTTTTTGGACTGAGAGCCTCAATGTATTTTCTCATGAATCTGGAAATGTGCTTTGTTTTCGCGTCTTTGGTCTGACCTTCGTAGCATAAGTTATTGAATTCGAGACACCAGCATAATTGTTTACGTAGGTTTAGTTCTGGAATATGTATATCAAGAATAATTGCTTAGAAAGAGCTCAAATGGTGTTTCATTATACGAAGAACAAAAATATGTGCATGGAATTCACAGATATCATGGTATTCTTTCAAGAGCCTATTTCATGATGCTGAAACATAATCAGGCTGTTTTCAGGTTATTCAATCAGTAGCCAAAGTGAGTAAAGTTATGGCTGGGATTTATGGGATCAAGAGTTCGGGATTAACTCCTAATGGTTTCATGGATATCAGGCTGTTCAAGAACTTCAAGGATGCCCTACAGTTTTTCAGCCAAATGCAAGCAGAAAATGTTAAACCCAACTCTATAATTCAAATTTGGACCCATATAATTCTGCTAATTATGTGTTGATGAATGATACATATTCCACGCGCCTTAAAAGACTCGATGACTGTTCAGCCCCCACATGTCTGGAATGGATACGAGTTGAGCAGACCACTCACTCGTCACTCCATAGATGGTAAACTACACGCAGATAAAGGGAACATATATTTTGAGTTATATCAAATAACTTCCGAAAAACGAAAGCTGTGTAATATACTTGACATCAATTGCGTCTATCAGAACATAGAAGGAGATGGCTCTGCTCAGTCATACTGAGAAGCTGGCCATAACATATAGACCGATGAAAGTAAAAAAATGGAGCACCTACCAGGGTGGTTAAGAAATGACTGTCATACAGCAGTAAAATACATTTCTTTGGCTCGTAGTCGCGAGATTTTCCTCAGAGATGATGCTCGTTTCCACCATATTATGAAAGCGCTCCAATAACGATCGTTGGTAGTAAGAACTAAGAAACAGGTTAACCCTACAGCATTTTCTTCTCAGTTCCATATGCTCTGATCAGATTGCTAGCTAGTGGTTATTGGCAGGCAAATCAACACAGTTTGCAATCTTGTTTTCTGCTAATCTCCGGGTATAAAAATGTTGGACCAGAGATATTATTCGAAGCAGCATAACCACTAGTATTGCTCAGCGCCACCACTAAGCGTTCCAAAAGCTATCGGAGAAGAAAAATGCTGTGCTAAGTTACTAAACAGCGACATCATCTATCACTAAATCTGGAACACTGAAAACACCCACACACCCTATGAAATGATTTAACACCCCTGTTTTTTTAGGAGTTGCCCTTATCTTCGGTATGAGGAAAAGAAATAGTATTAGGTTCGAAAGCACCCTCAATGCCTCGACACTTGGAAGTAAAAAGTAGAAATAGCATATCTTCGAAGTTCCTAAAAATAAGGTGCATCACATATCCCAGGGACCAGTCACATAGTCAATTTAATTGAGTGTTCTAAACATAAACCCTAAGCAAGGAAAATATAAAATACATAACTAACAAAAAACCACACTACTTACACAAAAACGTCAAGGCAGTATCCACTATTGGGGGCCTCTCCTGCCAGCATCTTGCTACTAAAATGAAACGGGAAAGGCTGCAGAAATTGTCTTTTTCCAACAATAATATTTTCAAAAAAAAAAACCGTAGTAACACACCACCATACACAAAACCCAGGAAGACAACTTTCGCATCCCCCATCCAAAGTGCTCATGACGCCTAGAATCTCATCTTACAAAAACTGAAGAAGAGAAAATTATATGTTCTAAAGAGGAACGCACAGCTACAAATGCAGAACGGTGGATAGGGGAAAGGTCTCCAAAAATTCAGAGAATGAAAGGAACACATCAACCAATATCCAAACCCGAACAGGGATCATAAATTGTGTATATCAACCAAACTTCATCCTCCCCTTAACATAGCTAATGGTTGATGAAATCAGATCGACCCTGCACGGCCATCCTCTCAGAAACATTAGCCAAGGAGGTTAGGTTGCACCTTATCAAAGCCTGCACAAAGTAACAAGTTTCATCCCTGGTGTTCCCATCAGGCACATCCACCACAAACGATTCAATCACCATTGTTCCAGGTCTTCCCTCAATGACCTCTGGATGCACGGTGATTATGGAAGAATAGTTCTGCCAATCAATTCCACATAACACAAAACAAACAATTAGTTGCGTGTATCAATTGATTATTAAAGAATGAACGAGAACGTAATAGAAATAGCTAGTAGACCTTGAGCCTATGATCACCACCGAGTATCTTGATACGAAGAATGTGTTGGACATCATCAAGTTGTTCCAACCTCTCAGTGCTGGTTGTAGCAGGAAGGCCAGATTTAACATTAACTTGTCTAACGCTACCAATACCAAGATCCCCTTGAACGATGCACCTGCTAACAAAGGGTTTATATTTCTGGGGCTCATCAAATCTTCTAACCAGCGACCACACCTGATGAATGAATGGATGAAATTAACAGAGTGAATTGGATTGTGAAAAAAAAAAAAAAAAAAAAAGCATAAGGTTGAATGAGAAGAGATCTAGAAAGTGAAAGTTACGACTTACGAGGGGGACAGGGGCTCTTATGTGCTTGACGAGGACGGAAGTGCACTGGTTGTCCCTGGGTTCATGTCTGTGATGCCTCCTTACGTACTCACTTTCCATGTCTAAATCAATAACACCGTTCATCTCTCTTCTCTGCTTACAAGTTACAACTACGAGAGATGTATGTGGCAGTGACAACCACACAAGGTGATAAGATTTGGTGGTTTCCTTACAGATAAACAGAGAGAGGCGGTGGTATAATATTAATATTGTATAGTATCAAAAACACATGAAGTTGAACCCAACACCCACAACCTTTTATTTTTATTATGTCTATATATATAGAACATGTTGTTGTTGGCTTGTTGCGCTTCTTGTGGCTCCATTCCCGGTCTTCTTTTTGCCCCCATTATTGGCCTTTTCTTTTCTTTTCTTATTTAATTCTTTAGTGGCTCCAACTCGTGATCTGATATAACTTGTTCTGCTAGAATTTTTTTGAGAGAATATGAGGTAGTTTGTAAGAATTTATAAATAAAAAAATTTATAAATATAACTTGCCTTTTTTATTTTTTATTTTTGGTACCCAGAAAGGCATAATTAACTAGTGTAGGACACTGATATTTTAATTTTTGAATCAATCAGTAATGAAATTTGTAGAGTTAATCGAAAATTTGTTTTTGTCTTAATTGCTAAACTATTAAGAATATAATGAATATGCACGGATGTTTTAATATATTATTATTTATTTTTATTTTATTTACTAAATAGTGATACAATAATGTGTTACAGAATTAATAAATTTCGATGTGAGAGAATCTATATAAATTAAACTCAACTTTTAATTTCATTACACCAATTAATATATTTTAATTTTTTTTTTAAATTTCATTACACCAATTTTATTTCTTGTTTTACTTAAAGTGAAATAATATATGTTAAAATATATTATTTTAATACATGTGAGATAGTCATGTATACAAATATAAAAAAAAATTATATAATTTTTGCACTATAAAAAAATATTCAATAATTGTAATTTTTTATATGTCTACAAGTATTTTATTTAATTTAAATAAAAAAATTATAATTTCACACTTTACTTTATGCACACATCACTTTAAAACAATATATATATATATATAAGAGCAGAATCATATGGTACCGATATCAAACTAAAAAGTGTGATACCTAATTTTAATATTCGATTTTGTGAATCTAACGCTTATAATTTATTGGTAAAATTTATTAATTAATTATTAATTCTGAATAAATTGTAATTATTTGATTGACGAAAATAATAGGTTAAAATATATTTTTTATTTGATAATGATGTTAAACATTTTAATTTGATACAGATGTCAAAAATTCATGTTCCATACATATAATGTGTGTATCAATAAGTTACCCCACTAATGGTTGCCACTTATCAATCTTTATCGGTACAAGCTATAAAATATTTTTAAGAATGAATTTGGATTTATTTTAAGAGAAAATAGTTTCTTCTTTTAAAGGAATTTTTTTTTCTCTTACTAAAGATTCATAGTATAAGTGGAGCCTAAAAAATAGTGAAGAAAAAAAAAATTCAAGGTGAGACTTATTTATGTTATGAGTCACTAATAGGATAAAAAAAATTTCTTTAAAAGGAAAAAAATATTTTCCCTTATTTTAAATATAAGGAAAGCGGGAGCAGTTAGTTGAAGGTGGTTTTTTTTTTTTTTTTTTTTTCCAGTTAAGGGGACTTGTTTTAAATAGAGTCAAACCATGAGTTGGGAGTTGGGAGGGGTAAGGAAAGAAAATATTACCTAAGCGAATTGTGAATTGAATCAGATTGCACCCCAAAATAAATTACTGAACTGTTTAAAATAATTCAAATAATTAAATTTAGGATTTTGATTTTTTCATATAATAAGAAATAAGTATTTCATACTATAAATATATATTGTGTGTAGTCTATATCTATTTAAAAAAAAAATATACTGCACGGAAAATAAAAAAGTCATTGTAGAAAAAAATAATTGAGAGTTGTTTTTCGAATTTTTGACCACTGTAGTCTTTTTTTAATAATTAAATATCAAATTGACCTTCATTTTAAACTATTTCGAAAATTTGATCTTTCAAAAAAATATAATATCAATCTGTTCCTGTTTGACCGTTTGACCACCAAGCCTACCCAGATATTTTTTGAAATTTTTTATCTACTCGGGTAAGGAGAGGGATACCCTGGTATATTGCTTGAATATAGGAAAAAACAAAAATTATTTACACGGTAGGAAGAGTGCTACTCGAGTAAATGAACCATTTTTCTTGCATCCAACAGCCACCAAAGCATTATTAGACACAAACTCACCCCCAAAGCAACTGGTGCATAATTGAATGTATTCCAAGAAATTGGGTACACAGTTGGCAAAAGGAATACAGAACATGTGTAACAAATTCACAGAAATGCCACCAGGCAGATTGGTCATTCAATGCACAGAGCCAAACTGCATTTGAGGGAACCTTGTGTTTTGGGTGCAGTTTCCTCCATATGAATGAAAAAGGAACTCCCTTATCTCTTGACAGAGCATAAACCTGAAAATTGTTTGAGATACACCACACTGGTAAGGAGGCATTATTCCCCCGAGTGAGTTACTCTTAATACACCAAAAGAACATTAAAATTGTTGAACATATTGTGAAGTACGTTTCATAATATTTTCTGATAGAGATGAACTATAGTAAGTTTATTTGGGTTTAATCAAATATCTCCCACTTCTATTCTCTCCTCTTAATCATAGAATAAGCAAGCTTAGGCCATCCTGTGGCAGTTATAGGTATATATAAAGAAGCAAAAGTACCTGCCACCATTTACCTAGGAGGCATTAATTTCTTATGGTCATTTAGGAAACTTTACATACTAAAAATACTCTATTCCTGCTGCAGAAATGAGTAAATGAATTTAGTAGTTTACAGAACTAACTAGTACTTCCAATTAATATAACAGACAACTGGTTCTCTATACTTTTGGGCTGCCCATTTAGCCGGTCCCAAATAGGGACCATTTTCTTCATGGTGCAGTGCTTGGCTCGAAGCCATAGGGCTTATTGCTGGGATTGGGACTCAGCTACTTACCCGAGTAGGATCTTTGTATCCGGAGAGATAATTCAAGCATTTTTTCAGATTCAAAAAATATATTCGAGTATCTTCGTCTATATTCGGATAGGTAAAAATTTTTAAAAAATACCTGGATAGGAAGGGTGATACACGGGTAGACTTGGTGGTCAATAGTCAAACATGAGTAGAGGGCAGATTGGTGTTATATTTTTTAGGAGATTAAATTTTCGAAATAGTTTAAAATGAAGGTCAATTTGATAATTAATTATTAATTAAGGGTTATAGTGGTAAGAAAGTCGTTGTTTTTCCCTTAAACTTAATTTTTTTTTTTTAAAGAGGTTTGTTAAAAAAAAAAAAAATTGGATTCATTCTGGAATTTTAAAATTACAAGAGGTTTGCTAATTAATAAATGGTTCAATTTCGTCGACCGCAATTAATGAGAGTGACAAATAACACATTAGAATTTATGAACCCTAAACACTATTTCTGTTTTCATAGTACACTGATCCACAACCCTGCTTGGTCTTTCCACGACAAGTATATTCCGGCATTGGAGCACAGGGTCATCAACGACCCTTTGGCTTTGGGTGATCCTTATATGACGGGAAGCCCGGAACACTAAAATATATCCCATTTATGAACTTCTAGTTTTTCATTTTCATAATTGTCATCATCCAACCAAATACATATTTCCTGAAGGGATATCCGCAGCATCTTCCCTGAAAAAAGTGACTGAAACGTACCAATTCTTCTTCTCACGCTGTTCAGATATTCTGATGCATCCTCAACAAGGAGAAAAAAAAAATTGTGCAATAGATGTAGGTATATTCATATTAAAAAAAATGGAACTTAAAAGAAATTATAAAAAGAACATATGGGTTAAAAAAATATTTACAAAAATAGAAAAAATATAAAAAAAAAATCGTCTTTTAATAAAAGGAAATACCAAGTTCGGTACTCTTATAATACTAAAGAAAATTCCCTCAACAAGATTATGTGGCAGCCTATCTGCTGCCTAGGGACATTGACCACGTTCATGAGCACACTTTCTACGCTACTGGAATACTTACTCCCTTTTCAAAAAGAAAAAGAAAAAAAGAGATATAAAAGAAAATAACAATAAAGACATGAATAGTGTAATTATATTACTTTTTCATATTTGGTAAAAGATGCACTAAGTACTCTTGTAGCATTTAAAATATTGTCAAAATACCACGACGGCAAACCGGCTATTTGTGGCAGCGGATTTGATTTGTCACGTGGCAAAATTCTTAAGGCCAGGTTGTCAAGTCAGTCAGAGAAGCTTAGAAGCAGAGACACATGGCAGCCAATATGGGACTCGTTGTCAATGGCAACGACTATATAGAACTACACGGTGATGACATGTGACACAACTTTTTTATAGTTTTACCGTAAACTTCGGAAAGTCGTAACTTTTGTCTTCAGTATCCGAATCAGATTTTTTTTAATTCCACGTAACTTTTCGAGATCTACACGCTCACAAATTTACAAAGGACTATTTATTAGTGTTGGAAAGTAAAAATAAGAATAAAAATTAAATAACATCACTAACAAAGATAAAATGTGGCAAACGAGCACAAGGGTGTATTTTTAAGGAAATTTTTTTGACCAAATCCCCTCCGGGAATCGGTAAGTGCATAGATCTCAAAAGTTATGACTTTCAGAAGTTTTATGATAAAATTTCTCAAATTTTGTGCCATGTGTCATTTCTGTGTGAATCTAGACCCTTAAACTTGCTGGCACTGTCAACGAGTTTTAGACTGCTTGACAACAATTTGACTCGTTTGACCATTAAACTTGCTGTCAGTTGTTGGGTATCACTCATATTTCGCATACTAATTAGGGCTCTTGTTGGTGGGGTCAGCAGAAAGTCAACTCGGGTCTTGCTCAGACTTGATACTGTTGTGGGCCAATGACTTATTGTAATTTTCTTTTTTCTTAGTAGTTTGGACTTGAGCCCATGAATAGATGTTGTTATGGTTTTCCTAAATCCTATTTATATTCCTTTGTAAACCGAGTGACTTGTAACGAGTGGCGGTGAGGTGAATATAGTATAGACAAGCTGGACATAACCTACATTGGGTGAACTAGGATAAATCACCGTATCATTTCTCTCTCCCTTTCTCTTTTCATTTTCGATTTATGTGTGTTGTGCGATTGTCGATTACCAACATCAGTTGCAACGAGTTTGATAGCCTAAGGTTTCGTGCCTTGTGACTTT